CTCAGAGGGAAATGTAATGTCTCCAAAAGTCCCTCAGTAGTGCATGTCTTTAATTCCAGCACTTGGAAGGCAGAGGAAGGAAGACCTTTATGTGTCCAAAGACAGCTTGATCTACACAGAAAATTAAAGTCACCTAATGAGAACCTATCTAAAAATGTCACATCTTCTTGTATTAAATAAAAAAATGTTTTCCAAAGATGAATAGCATAATTTCCTGAAAACTTATTCATAAAATATTATAAAATTAACTAAATGAAAATTGTTCAAGTAAAAACTGAAGGAAGGATGGATTCGGGTTTAATGTGATTCAAAAAACACATATAATTTTAATAAAGGATAAGCGTTATCATGAAAGTGAGAGGGGGTAATCTCGGAAATGTTTCTGAGACTATGAAGTTGAACTGTCCTTTCTATCAAAACTAGAGAGTTGAAACCAAAGTTAGCATAGAGGAAAGATCATCAGTCTGTGAGGTATGAAATAATCAGGGAAAAAGAAGTCACGTGCATTTATCAGGGACATCAGTTGTTAGATATGGTTGGAGCAAAAGCAAGCCTAAGGCCTGAGACAGCTGACTGAAAGCCAGAGATGGAACAGGCTGGAGACTGTGGCTTAAGAACATCTCAGCCACATTACATGTACATAACCATGTTCATAATCTTCTAATATGTTAAATGACAATATTTTCAAATGCCCAGTTCTTTTTTAATGTTAGAAGGGAACAAATAAAAAAGAAATAAATTAGATCTCAGAAGACGAAGAAGGAAGATTTGGATTTTGAAAACAGTCAGGGCTACATATAGAACTTTTCCTAAAATAAATTAAACAACAAGTAGAAACTGAAAACAAATTGGTACATCTAAAGCCAAATTCAGTATGCTCTAATCATCCGCCCTTCTTTGAATAGAGTCACGATGAGTTGCTAAGTGAGAGGAATAGAAACACACATAGTTCAGTAAGCCTCTGCCATCCTGAAGGAGGGGATATCTTAGCTATAACCTAAAATTAAACATCGTTAGTAATTAGGGAAATGCAAATCAAAGCTACTCTAAGATTTCTTCTTTGCCCACAGAATGGCTAAGATCAAGAGAACAAATTCCAAAATGCTGTGGAAGATGTGGGGAAAGGGGAACACTCATTCACTGCTGATGGGATTGCAAATTCCTGCAATCAGGGTGGAGCATTCTTAGAAAATGAAAAATATATCTACATTATCATCTTATTATACCACTCCTAGACATATATGCAAAGGACACTTTATATTGCAGAGATATTTGTGCAGCCATGTTTGTTGCTGCTCTTTTCACAATAACTAAGAAATGGAAACAACCTGAATGTCCCTAAACTGAAGAGTGGATAATGAAATGGTACTTTTACACAATGGAGTTCTACTCAATGGTAAAGAAAAACAAAATCATGAAATTTACAGTAAGGTAAGTGGATGAAACTAGAAGTTATTACACAAAGTGAAGCAGCACAGACTCAGAAAAACAAGCAATGTGTGTTCTCTCATTTGTGGCTCTTAGCTACAAATCCTAATAATTGAGTACACATCTCACAGACCCTTATTCTTTGTGTTTATTCAGCTGTGCAACTTTGTAATAGTCTCCATAGACTTTCTCCATTCTATAGGCTGTGTCTACACTAATGATGTCCTTCACTGTACAGAAGTTTTGCTGTTTCATGAGGTTCTATTTGTTAATTGCTCTTAATCCCTCCCAGAATCCTATTCAGAAAGTTCTTTTCAGTGCCTATAAATTATTATGGTCTGTACTATAACCTGAGATAAGGAATGGTGGCAAGCTCCTTCAATGTTTTTATTATTTATAATTATTTTGGCGATCCTCCATCTTTTGTGATTTCAGGAAAATTTTAAGATTGTTTTTACTAATTTATTTGAAGTGCTCCATTGGAATTTTGATGGGAATTGCCTTGAATGTGTAATTTTGGTAGGACGGCCATTTTCACAATATTAATACTTCAGTGTCTTAAAGTCTTCACTTGTTTAGATTTTTTAAATTTCTTGCTTAAGTTTATTCCAAGATATTTTACTTTTTTGAAGCTTTGGAATGAATAGGTTTGCTTACATGATTTCTTTCTTTAATCTCAGCACTGCAGAGGCAGAGACAGGCAGATTTCTGTGAGATTCGGACAGCTTGGTCTACGTAAGTTCCAGACCCGCTGGTCCTACAGAGAGAACATCTTTCAAAAAACAAAAGAAAAAAAGGCAATCATCAAAATTATAATAGATTATGCTTTTGAAATCTACTTTCAGCTCTAGTTAGTCTAAATTCTGTTTTCTCTGCATGGAAAAGGAGAAACATGCTCACTACAACAGCATCTTAAGGCTGTGTTGCCAGTAATGGGATAATCAAGGTCTGCCTTTGCTTCTACTGTAGTAGGAAGTGTCTGTGGGTATTTGAATATGGAATTTGC